TGTATTTACATTTTATTTGGGGCTGAACACATGTGGCAATTTGCCCACACAGATAATGGTGCTCCTTAGCAATGAATATGTGAACAAACCTATAGAGCAAGTTCCTTGTGAGCTCTTGCTGGTGCCTGCAAGGGATACTGTGGGGAACATCTCCACTTAAACTACCTTTGGCTAATTCATAATGATCTGGGTGAGGAAGGGCATGACACAGTGGTTTTAGGACTACAGGGGCCACTGGGAACGTTAATTAAATTCTGGCGAAAAGCCTTTTAAAAGGGCAGTCCTGCAGCAAGAGACCTTGGAGCTTTTATCATTGACTTGCAGTACACGGAAAGGGCTTTTTAATAGTTCCTGCAGGCCCAGTTGGATTTTGTCAAGTTTCAAGTGTGTCATATCCGTGTTCTTAAATTGCTTTGGAGTCTGACTTAGAAGGGCAGGTGTCATCCCCCTGTTGCCACATCTGTCCTCAAAAAGGCACAGTAAGTGATCTGTCTTCATCAAAGCCCTGTTTGACTCCTTCCAAACCCAGCCCTGGTGTTCTGCTAATCTCAGGTCAGGTAATTTTGATGAAAGATGGGTTTGACTGCCTTAATTTATCATCCTGTTTGGAAAAAGGGGTTCTGAAGTTCTGCCTGTGCTTCCCGTTCTCTTTCTGGATGGTTACTGCATTTGGCCCTTTAAAATGGGATGTGGTTTCCCTTCCAAAAGTGCTGGGAACTCTGGTGTTGAAGTCCTTTACTTGGCAAGCAGCTGATGCTGGTTGTCAGGAGATAATTTTGGGGGGAGCGGTGGGTTAAAGCTGGATCTGTAGCACTGGGGGTAGGGAAACCTTGGGACACACATGGGGGTAATTTATGTGGACTCAGTAGAACTAAGACCAGAGTGGCTTGGTCTGAAGTTATTTCCTAAGTGCTGTAATTTCGAAAGAGCTTGTGTCAGGCAGTTGTTTAAGGACACATCTCAGTGGTTTGAGGTTGGTACTGGAGTGTTTGTGTCTTTCAGAAATTCCCTGGATGACGAAGGGAAGCTTCTTCCCACCTGAGCAGCCACTTGGTGTTTACTGTTCTAGGCATTTCCTCACCTGCAGCCTTACAAAGATGTAAAGATGTTACTCTGCACAAAAGGTGGTGCAGGAAGGGCTGGAAGTACTCCAGTGTTGGATGTTGTCAGCTCAGTTCTGGGGGATGAGGGTTGTCTTGGCTGAAGCGGTATCAGAACTGTTGGTTAATGATGAGGATTTGAGGAGAGATGGGCTAGAAGAAAGACTAGAAAACCCCAAAATGATTTAAATAGGAGGAGGTAGGGATGTATACACATAATCAGCTTGGCTTCAATTCCTGGAAAAAGTGAGGGGGGAGTGAACAAGTTTTTTTTCTCCCCTAGCTTGGAGTCACGGAATCCTGGAATGGTTTGGGTTGGAAGGAACCTTGAAGCTCACCCAGTTCTGCCCCCTGCCATGGGCAGGGACACCTTCCACTATCCCAGGTTGCTCCAAGCCCCCTCCAACCTGGCCTTTGACACTTCCAGGGATGGGGCAGCCACAGCTTCTCTGGGCAACCTGTGCCAGGGCCTCCCCACCCTCACAGCCAACAATTCCTTCCCAATATCCCATCTAACCCTGCCCCCTGGCAGTTGGAAGCCATTCCTCCTTGTCCTGTCCTTCCATCCCTTGTCCCAAGTCCCTCTCCAGCTCTCCTGGAGCCCCTTTAGGCTCTGGAAGGGGCTCTCAGGTCTCCCTGGAGCTTCTCTTCTCCAGCTGAACACCCCCAGCTGTCCCAGCCTGGCTCCAGAGCAGAGGGGCTCCAGCCCTCGGAGCAGCTCCGTGGCCTCCTCTGGACTCTCTCCAGCAGCTCCACATCCTTCTGATGTTGATGCCCAAAGCTGCTTTGTGGGGATTTTGCATTTGTGTGTTCTGAGGAATCTTGTGTGAGCTGTCCCTCACTCCCAGCCTGGCTGACCGGGGAAACTCCATTTGTTACGTTTTCACATGGCTAAAGAGTTGGAAAAGGGAGGACGAGGTCAGAGTTCAAAATTGATACACTTTTTTTGGAAGGAGGAAGAATTTGTAGGAGCCAAGTGCGAGTTAGCAGAGTTAGGCAGGAATAGTCAGCTGGTCAAACATTAAATGGGAAAGGACAGGCCTTACAGCAGGTTCCGAGAACAGGCTGGAGGGATTGCGGCAGTGAGGGGATCACGGATCGATGGAATCAGTCAGCAGAGCTGGGCTGGGCTGAACCCAGCTGTGTGGGGGGGGTGAGGGGAGGGCTGGGCAGCTTCCAGGACCTGTGAAATGACACCGTATCTGTGCCTGATCTTGTCTGTGCTGGGTCGCTCCCTCGTGTTTGGGCACAGCTGGGTCCCTGCCACTGTCTTTGGGAGGGAAACCCCCTAAACCTTCTGGGAATGAGTGAGATGTAACTGTTCCCGTTTCCAGGCAGGAAGATAAACTTGTATGGCTTATCTCTAGACTTCTGGGGCCAGCATTAACACCAGCAAGGCAGTGGTGTGCACATGCCTGGGTACATACACCTGCCACGGGGAGGGCGTGGAAAGAGGAGACCTCCCTCCTCAAAATACACCCATTCTGTCCCAAATAATGTGGGGTCATTGAACTGAGTAATCCACAGGTTGGTGGAGTGGGAGAAAGGGCTTGCTGGCAGAAATAGAACTCTGTTAAGGTCCGGTCTGTACAAACTCTTGTGCTGGATGGGGCACACTGGGAGCTGAGCTCAGCTGGGTGAGGGCCCTGACCCTGAACTGCAAATCCTCAGAGACTGGGGCTGGAAAGGACTCTGTTCTGGGTTAAATCCCTTCCAAGATGGGACACAGTTATTTACCAACGCTTCACATTTTTTACCGTCTGCTTTGTGTGCAGGAGCTCAGTAGTGCCTGAGATGAAACAGGTTGTGCTGTGTCTTCACGGGGCTCTTGGCAGGAGTTTATGTGACCTGTGAAACCTGGCTGAGAACACGCTTCCCATTCTGCCTCAAAGCCTCTAATCCCCTCTCTGCTGCTCTTCCTTCTTGATGTGCTCTTTCTTGACCTTTTCTGCCCTTCAGTGCTCTTTCCTTGGGCATCTTGTTGCTTCCAGGGCAAGAAGAGTCTTCACCCCATCAGTGGATTGGATCTGCCCCAACCTGCACCAGAGGCAGGGCAGACAAGAAGCTGGCATCACCCTTTCGAAGGCTTCACGGCTTTTATTCGGAAAGCCAGAGGAAAACAAAGCTCCAAAGAGTGTATTTTGTTGTCACAGGGGTCTGGATCTATATTGGGAAAAACATACAGAATCTTGTAATCGAGGCAGGGTCAATAGCTTGGGTAGATTCCTTCCCTTGGAAAACACAGGGATGTAGAGATGAATCTTTAATTTTAGAAAGGATCTTTAGGTTTCTGAGGCCCTGGAAGAGATTATAGCGATAAACAGGTTAAAGTTTTTCCTGCTGGTCATGACTCCTGTTTCTTCTCTGCCATTTGGTGTATGAGAACTGAAACTCCGGATTGCAGAGAGGGAATCGAGCACATCCACGCACAGCTGTGGGAGTACAAACCAGAGTAATGTGAGCAGCTCCGAGAAATTTTGTAGTTTGTTTTGGATTTTTTGTTGTGCATCTTTGTGGTTTTGGGTTTGGGGGATTTTTTTGTGTCTCTGTTATCCTCGGAAAAGACAATCTCAAGGATTTGGATCCCAACCTAACAGGTCTCTGGCCCGAGACTGACACTGTCACTAGGGAAATGTCAGTATTTCTAGATTTTTCCCCCTTATTTCCTCTTTGAATTCCTGAAGATAAAGGAGTATGTGAATGATATCAGCTACAAAAGCATAACTTATCTGTTGTTCCTTTCACACCATTCCTGCCTTATCTGCGAGTTCCCGTGAATTCTGAGTAGCAGGGACAATGGGCTGCAGGAAGTGCAGGAAGGCTGGAGTCCCTCCCTGGGGAAGCTGGAGGCTCTGTGGAGACCAGAGACACTGTGTAGTTCAGCGATAGAGGGAATCGTATCAATTTGTTAATTAAGGTCATTTTAGAAGGTAAATCCGATTTTAAAAAGCCCACAAACAACCAGGCACTTGAAGAAGCTGCAGTGCTTCGGGACAGGCTTTGTTTGCAAGGGAAGGTCGCCTGCAGAGTTGTACTTTTCCTCCAAATCCAGAATTATTCTGTCACTTAATGAAACAAATCTTGTTATTAAATGCATAGTTGTCCTTAAGGTGGTTGGAACATCCTTCAGCATTTCTTTATCGACCATCCTGTCAAAGATTAAATGGTTTTGAGATGAGTGCAGCCTTGATGCTATTTCTAAGCTTGGCTTTAAAAGCCAAGATTCTGTTTTCTCTCACCCCAGCATTATGCTGTGTGGAAAACTGTTCTTCCCTGGAAGAATTTGTCTTCTATTTTCTCTGGATGATTAAGTTAAGACAAGTCAAAGTGATATTGACAGCCAATCTTTCTGCTTGACCAAATAGACCAGAAAGACAGTAATTAAAATTCACTTCTTAATGCAAAGTAGATGTTAATTATAGAACTCTTTGGGGAATACTTAAAATGGAAAAGTAATCATGTTTATCCTGGACGGGAATGGGAGTAAAAAAATGCTTTATGGCACTTTCAAGATGTGTTAAGCTCAGAATTGGAGACTCTTTCTCCTGAGGCCTGGATTGTTCTTGATGATTCCTACTCGTTGCTGCACAAACCGAACGACTGCACTGCTGTGAATGGCACCCACCCCACAAAGGCTGCGAGCAGGGCCTCAGGAGTGCATGGAGTTGCCATGTGAGCAGGAAAAGATGTTTTAGGGGTGAAAATTTCTTGGAATGTGCGAGTCTGTTACGTAAATAGTCAAAGCAGAAAACACTGTCACACAGACCAAAGTGCTTTTAACATATTCAGGATGTTGTGAGCAGTGAGTGCTCATCGTGGGATCCCGAGAGGAGGAGGGTGTGTTTCCTGTTAGCAGAGGTGCAAAGCTAACCCTGAACTGGCGTGGTGTGTGTTTTACAGGGGCACTCGTGAGGACCTTCACTCCGTTTTACTTCCTGGAGGAGCCTCAGGACGTGCTGTCGGTGCGGGGGGCGCCGGTGGTGATGAACTGCTCGGCCTACTGCGACACGGCCCCCAGGATCGAGTGGAAGAAGGACGGCACCTTCCTCAACCTGGTGTCCGACGACCGGCGGCAGCTGCTGCCCGACGGGTCCCTGCTGATCAGCAGCGTGGTGCATTCCAAGCACAACAAACCCGACGAGGGGCACTACCAGTGCGTGGCCACCGTGGACAGCCTGGGCACCATCGTCAGCAGGACGGCAAAGCTCACCGTGGCAGGTAAGGCTCTGCTCTGGGAGCGCGGCCGAAAACCTGGATGTGGGGGTGGATGCTCTGCCCCTTGGAAAAGAGGAAAAAGCGCTTTCCAACAAAAAAAAAAAGGATGAAACCGTTGTTTTATCAGGGAAAGTGGGGCTGAGCACCTCATTTCCAAGCTGGAAGCTGGCGTGTTTTCTGTTCGTCAAAGCGCCTCAGTGCAGGGGGGTTTCTCAGGAAATGCTGAGGATCAGGGAAGAAATAAATGTCAAGTGTCTGTAATCAAAATGAAGGTTTACCACAGCTTAGAAGGGCGGAAAAAACAGGGTTTTGCTTTCATTACGTATAAGCAACTTTAAAATAACTTTTTCTACTTATATGTTGAGATTTCTCTGCTCTCTGTTGTAAAACACTTGGGAAGCTCCTCATGGCAGGGTATGCAATCCAAACAGGGCTGGGAGACAGGTAGGGAAAGGACTGAAGGCAGATAGAGAAAGGAGGGCTGGGGATTGCATTTTTCTGTTCCTGAAGCTGTGAACAAGGAAGTTTGAGAAGTAACAACTGACCAAATGCTTCAGGTTTTCCATTAAAAGGGCCAAGTCATAACCTCAGCCTTGGTGTTTGGAGTAACCTTTAGACTTGCCTGGTGACAGCTTTTATATAGAGGGTAGAAAGCAGTAAGGGAGGGAAGTTTGCACATAAAAATAAAGATTATGACTAGGGAAAGTGCCTTTTTACAGTCATTTGCTTATATCTCAGGGCTTGGGAGTGTCAGACTGTGTGTGCCTTGTAAACAGCATAACTTGCAATTACTGAGTGAGACTTCAAATCCAATCGAAAAGAAAAAAAAAAAGAAAAGTAAACTAAGGGGCTGTAACTAAGAAAAAAGCCTATGAAGCAATTCTCCTTTGTTTCTCTAATGATGTTTGCCAGCCTTTTTCAAACAGGTTTTTTTTTTTTTCTTTGCTTAATAAATGTCTCAAGGTAATGAATTCTTCCTGACTGGGGCTCCGGCATCTCCCAGAGCTGCTGCTTCCCATCGTTTATATTCTGATGTTGTTTCCATTAACGTGGCTTGTAGCATTGTTGGGAAACATCAGCAGTGTCAGAAACAAAACAAAATGGGGGTTTTATACCTTAAAGGAGTGGCTTTGAGAGTCTCTAAATGAGGAATGTGTTTCTGAGGTTCTTGGCGATGAGGACAATAAAGGCAGTTCTCACGCAGTTCTCTCAGCAGTTCCCACCTCCCCGCATCGCTGCTGTCGGGATTAATTCTGCTGCTTTCCACATGAGCTCCTTCAGCCTCCTGCCTCTGTCATCAGTCTGCTCTATGTGATCATTAGGTGAGGTTAATGGGGTTAAAAATGAAGGTAAGCCAAAATGCTTTCCAGATCTCCCGTTCCCTTTTGCAGTGTCCACGGAGAAGGTGCTATTTTAATTGATCATTTCTAAAACGATGGAATCTTTGAGAGCCTTTTAGTACTTGAAAAAAAAACCAACCCACAACACACAACACTGCAGTTGTGGTGAGTTTTGTTTTCAAAAAAATCTTTGCTAGAAAACACAACAGATATAGTCTAACCCAAGGCAATATGGATCTTTACCATAACACAACTAGTTGCCCCTTTGACTCTTGTTGGCCTGACAGCTGCGTTATGAGATTATTGATCAATCCCCTGCAATAAAAACTGTGCTTTCCTTGTCCAGAACTAGAGGAAATGCTTGTGACACATGTTCTGTATTGCCTCATGCCATCCTGTCCATCAGAAACCCGCCCCAGAGCATCCTCTGGCTGCACTCTGCAACCTCCTCCCGCTGCTCCAAAAGCTTGGTCAGGTGTGGGATGTGAAGGGTGTGAAATCCTATTTACTGACCCAGCAAAGTGCCAAGAGCTGTGCCAGACTACCCTCAGTTCAATCCTGTACTCAGGGGAAAGGTGGTTTGGTTGCTGAAGGCTTTGGAATAAGTGATGGAATATTTAAATGCTGGTTTGATTGTTTTGGTTTTCTGGTCCTCATTTGAATCCCTCAGTTTGAACAGTGGTTTTTAATATTCCTTCCTGGCCTCCTTGTTTTAATTGGAAGCTCTGGGCTGTGGTGAGTGTGGGGATTGTTCTCATGGTAAGGTCTTTCCTTGGCCTCAAAATTCCAGTGGGAGGGAGGTAATTCCCCTCTGAATGGAGCAGTGGTATGTTGGGTTCCTGTGCTGTGTCTGAGTGTGGTGCTGCACCTGATCCCTTTGAAAGGGAATAGGGTGAAACGTGGGCTGCATGTCTGAACAGCTTCTTACTCATTAAATAACTTCACTGCCTGAAAAGGACAATTCTGGTGAGTCATGTGGGCCAGGGTGAGGGAAATCCAGTAAGAACATGTTGTGTTCCATCCTTTTACGATCAGGTGACCCACCTGGTGGATGAGGGAAAGGCTGTGGATGTGGTCTATCTCGACTTCAGCAAAGCCTTTGACACTGTGTCCCATAATATACTCCTGGAAAAGCTGCAGCCCAGGGCTTGGACAGGGCACTCTGTGCTGGGTCAGGAACTGGCTGGAGGGCCGGGCCCAGAGAGTGCTGGTGAACGGGGCTGCATCCAGCTGGCAACCAGTCACCAGTGGTGTCCCCCAGGGATCAGTGCTGGGCCCAGTCCTGTTTAACATCTTTATTGATGATTTAGATGAGGGGATTGAGTCCATCATCAGCAAATTTGCAGATGACACCAAGTTGGGAGGGAGTGTCGACCTGCCGGAAGGCAGGAGGGCTCTGCAGAGGGATCTGGATAGACTGGAGAGATGGGCTGACTCCAATGGGATGA